GTGCGCTGGCAGACTTCAACTATTCGCTCATTCTCGCCAAGGAACTCAATGGTCTCGGACTTTGGGGTACCCGTAGTCATGCTGGATTCTTAGATTGATATTGTCCAGGTCGTAGCGGAAGAGAGCTCCCCACCCTCTCTTAATCTCAGCCCTAGGAATCGGAATCGGAATTCCTTCAGGGTCTTCATGTCGGATTCCGGACGCACGGATGCTCTTCCAGATGGACCTACATGGGGACGGGAAGACGAGGTTCGTGTGTGTCGCATCGGGAGGTGTGGAGTTTCAATGCTCTGATACGGCAGATGATATATCATGATCTATGATAGGTACAGTACATAAGGTAGAGTCAGCATCTGCAAGAGGGCCATTCTTATCTGTATCTGCCAGTCGGATACATCCTAATGCACTCACCCTTATTGCAGAATGTAGTGAATGCATGATTGCAAGGGCAAGGACAGGCTCTCTGAGGAGAGGCGGGGAGAATAGACCTACGGATGTGAAATCCGTGCCGAGCACCGAACCTTGATTTCTAAGCTGGGTGTACCATGTTTGGCTGCTTTCCCCGTAAACTCCGCCGGGAGTTCAGAGAAGAGGACTGGAGCCAAGCAATCGAGTAAGCGGGGTTGTTTCCCCCCTCCTTTCTTGAGTGTGAGGGAACAAGTTCCATCACGACATCGGTCTTTCAATGGTGCAACTTTCCGACCTCATTGTGCTACTACTGTTGCATTGGTAATCAATTATCAACACTCGATTCCTTCAAATACGCACCAACCTCACCATCGCCAGTCAATCCACCCGCAGTCCTCCAGTTGGAAAGCCAAGACATCAAGTCTCAAATTCCCGACAAACAACACAATTAGCAGCTGTCCAAATCATCGACACAGGCTTGGATCAGAAACAGAATCCTGACAATGTCTTCCGCCGCGCCCAAGATCAAGCTGTACACCAACCACGGCTGCCCATGTACGTGACATCCATTCCTAGCCTCACCCTCGTTGATTTCCGTCTCTTCGTGTCCAACCCCTCTTCCTCTCTTCGCGTAACCTCCTACCCCCGGGAGCCACGTGCAGAATTAAGCATCAAGGCATACTGCCAACCCCTCATGAAGTCTCACGACTCAAACCACCGCATCATCCTCAGAACAAATCAAAATTTACCGGCCTCAAGAGGAGGCCAAGATACACAGATAGCTAACCCCGAATTCTCAGGGGCTCACCGTGCACACATCGCCCTCGCAGAACTGGGCCTCCCCTTTGAGGAAGAAATCATCGACCTCTCGGTGCCCCGCACAAAGGAGTACCTGGCCATCAACCCGCGCGGACTTGTTCCCTCCCTCTCCTACGACGGCGAAATCATCACAGAGTCCGCCATTGTCAGCCAGTTCCTCGCCGACGCTCACCCGTCCCACCTCGTCCCCGCCCCGGGCAGCAAGGACGCCGCCCTGCGCCGCGCACGCATCAACTTCTTCGTCGACACCTACTTTAGCAAGGCTAACTCGTCGCTGTACAAGCTGCAGCTCGCAAAGTCGGAAGCAGAGGCGAATGAGGTTGCGGCTGGGTTCATTGACGTTATCGCCAAGGAGGTTGAGCCGCTGTTGAAGGATGCGAGTCCGTACTTTGGCGGCAGTGACAAGGTTACCTTGGCCGAGGTCCTTACAGGCTCATTCACACTGAGGCTGTTCTCGTTTGCAAACTATGAGCTCATCCCCAAGAGTATCCTGACGTCGCTGGAGGACAAGGCGCCCAGCTTCTACAAGTGGGCGCAGACCGTCAACAGCACCCCTAGCGTCAACGGTATCTACGATGAGAAGAATGTGGTTGAGCGGACCAAGCACCGTATCGCTGCCATGAAGGCTGCGCAGGCTTGACAGGAGGGTGGTAGCCGACTTTGAAGCGGCTGTATGAACACGGCTGTTAGTCATCAAGGCATTCCGGGAAGTTTAACCAATCCCATGATATTAGCGTCACAAGTCACTTTTGAATATCACCTCACTTTGAGTTGTCAACGCAAGGACCCATGTCCCTTGAAGAAATTGGGAAAAGGCTAAATGTTTAACGAGATGTGGCTGTACAGCCCCTGGAGTCTGGTTTGAGAATGGCTTGAGTGGCCATTATCTGACCTGAGTGACAATACTTTTGACGCCCAGGAATCCTCATCAATCATCTCATCGAGGAACATGACCAGGCGTGGAAGACCTGGGTAAGGCACATTGCCCCAAGGGCATGAAGTCTTCATGGTGTGATTGAATGCCCACCCAAAGCCTCCTTCCATGCTGAGTTAATCCGAAGAATAACAGCAAAAAGGATTTCCCTCTTACTTAGAGTGATTTTGAACCTTACGCACAGATCTTCACCATCGAGATGGTGGCCAGCAATCGAGGGAACAACCCGGGCGGGACGAAGTCCGATCTCTCTTGCAAGCCTAGACCGCGGCGTCTGGTCTGCCAGGCTGCGTTATGCTTTTGCTTCACTGATTTTACCGCAGGGCCACTTACCTTCCGGCAGGCAAATCGCTGAACAGAGGATCTCTCGTACGATGATGGGCTGCTCTTTTCGGCTTTACGAGCTTGCGACTGCTCGTCTAGCTTCAAGATGAATTGTCTTACACTGCGCCCAAGCAGGGTGCGAGGAGAAGGGCAGCAATTCCAAGGGCCGAAGAATGCAGGAGGGCAGAAAAGTCCATATTTTACCTGCACACAGTAGAATCACAGATTGAATCTCACGTCACACAGCTGCCAATGCTACATACGATCGTTTCGACATACAAAAGCACATCATGCTTTTTGACAACCGTTAAGAGATTTCGCCTGATTTCTTCGCGCTCGAGATTCCGTCACATCACCCGCAGCGGAACGCATCTCGCCCGAACGGAGATTCTTACCGATTAGTAGTCCCTCCGAACCAGAAGATTCAAATTTTCGGCTCAAAAGAGTGCTTGGATACAGATTGTCTCCCACTTACCGACGGGAGACTCGAGAGGACAGACGTGTCTTGTTGAGAGGATCAGATCAGACTGGTCGCGAAGGGTTTGAAGGTGGTGGTCTAAGACTTTGGTTCTAGAAGAAACAAAGAATACGAGATGGAGGGCCGAGTACGTTGAGAAGCTTTTGCTGGTCTTTGCCTGGGCTTTTGCTGATGGTGTGTACTGCTAACTCGATTGCCACAGATGAGTCAATTTAGCTGCCATCCCAGATGAAAACTGACTGGGTTTCTGATAGGCAGTGCCTAAATAGAAGAGACACACATGATTCAGTCTTGCGGGTAGCTAGCATCTGCCGTGGCGGGGGCGATTGGGGAGGTTGCTCATCCGCTGTCAACCAAGTCTCGAACAAGGCAGGCAGATAGACCAGCACCCACTACACCAAACTCGACGCACCGTTGAGGTCACCTTGGGCCTAGCATGCTCGTCAGAAAGAACATCCGAGAGGGCGAGAGGAATCCATAGAGTTCGAGAACAGACATTGAGGAGCACAGAGAAAAGGGCGGGAGTGAAAGAGGAATGGGCGGAGTCTAAATAGAGTTTGGCTGCTTAGACTCAAACGGGACAACCACTGAACCACAGACCAAACGCTTTCCCCTCACTTGCTCACGAAGCAGCTTTTTCTGCAACAGATGTGGCTGATTGGAACGAATGAGAGGGCGCTGTGTATGCTGGCCAGCCCTTCTCGAAGACGGCTTCGAAACACTCGAGCTGTGTGAAACATCACAGCGTACATCCCGGAGCAGCAGCCGGTTAGGGACAAGGGTCGCGAAGGGGCGGGGGACCATTGGCCGAGCCACTCGGTGCCCGGAGCACTAGCAGCATGGACTACCAGCTAGAACCTGAACGGTCGTTTTTCGTTTCCTTCTGGCCCCCCAATGACACAGACTCTGTGGCCCTGCGTTCCTGCAGCTTGTCAAGGGTAGTCACATTGATGACGGAGCGAGAGGGTAATCAAAGACAAAGAGGTGGACGAAGACAGCATGAGGGAAGACGCACTGATCGCTTTGATGGACCGTCTCCTGCTCGGCTAAATGGTTGGCGAGATAGCGGGATGGACCTGCAGACCTAGTCCCGTGAAACATGACAACCGACACCATGGCTGCTTGAATCTGCCGCTAGAACTCTAAGATCTTCCACTGGTGATGCAGCGGCGCGGGTTCAAAGGCCGAGAGCTGCTGGGGGACGCTTGCCAAGTCGAGCCCATACATATGCTTATGCCGGTAAATATGTGACAGGGGAGCTTCCCATCACCGCGATACATAGCGTCTGGGTAGATCTTCTGCTGATTGAGATTGGGATTACATATTCATATAGCCTTAGGCGCGGAGTAGAGGAGGCTACTCAGGGCTAGGAGGTGATGGAGGGAGGACATCGACAGAAAGTCAGAAACACGGCCAATCAGCTCGTAAGCGCACAGAGCATAGCGCACACCCTCACACACCGCTTCCTAGACCATTTCCATCCCATCCACAAAACCTCGCAACACTTGGACGGGAGGGTGCTCTTGCAGCACTGCAGCAGCAAGAAAGTGAGGGGGGCAAGACAGCAGGGAGGGAGCTTTGTCCGCCCCGGAGCCCCCCTTTGACGTCTTTTCCCGAAGTGTGATCATTCTTTGCATCTGAAGCAAAGACCAGTTATCCTTGATGTGTCACGATCCATGGGGCAAACACAACGAACGGGTCCCCTGGGGGGAAGGTTGATAACGTTGTTTCCTCCCACCTCGCTTGTGAAGCATCTCCAACGCCGTCCCCACTACCACCGAACTCGAACATCAACAAATACAAGGGGTTGTTGGATTTCTCTTTTTCAACACTCGTTCTCGGGAACTTCTTCGAGGTACATGCGCGCTCGGTGAGGCGACTTGGCGACCTTGGCTCCTTGCCCCCCAGGTACCGAAAAAACTCACGTCGATTCGGATACATACAGCTCGTGTTAGACGACCAGAGCTATATGGAGCTGTGAAAAGCCGAGGGCAGAAAAAAAGGAAAGCAGCTGATACTTCGTTTCGGATTTTCGATATGCGGCTATCAACATCGTCAGCGGCCTCTCTTGGTCTGCTATGGATCACATCTGCTCTGTCATTTGTTAGCGCCGTAGCAACAGCTGGGGAAGAGTATTATTTCGCTGGAGAACGCGTTCATTTGATTGCGAGGCAACAGCTACCTGATCTGAGCAATATATCAACATGTGGTGTAAGTTCGATTTGGAGTCGGGAGCCTCCTTTGGCTCGGTTGCTTTTCCGAAATGGAACCCACTTTGGCTAACACTCTGGTGCCCAGTTGAACTGCCTCGTACAGGGTATCGCAGGGGTCGGATGCGACCTCACGAACACAACTTGCTCCTGTGCGAGCACCGGTCTGGGTCAGCTCGTCGGCCCTTGCTTGATTGCAAACTGCACTATGCAAGACTCCCTGGGTGAGTACTTCCAGAGTCGTGATGATGGTGCAGAAAAGATGGGAAGACTGACGAGGCAACAAGATGTCGCGAAACTGCAACAAACGCAGTGCAATCTCCCTCACGAATCCGACACTGGCAAAATTCTTGCCATTCTGATCACCGTCTATGTCACGGCTGTCGTTGCGATTGTCTTGCGGCTTCTTGCCAAAAACATGGCAAAGACGTGGAGTCTAGACGATGCGTTGATTATTGCGGCGATTGTCATTGCGATTGCCCCAGTATCTGCAATTCTGTTGAGTAAGCTTTTTGTTGTCTTGCGGCCGGCTTGGATATGTAACTAACTGTCAACAGTGTCAAGCTTAGGATTCGGGAAGCACCTTTACGATCTTAAACCGGGTGGCTTACTGCAGATCTTGCGACTACGTAAGTACATTTCGTTCATATTGAAGCCATCTTCTCTAATGCGTTTGCAGTATACGCCGCCGAGATTGTGTACGTCTTTGTGCTCTTATTCGCGAAGCTGTCCCTCGTCGTCTTCTATCTACGAATCTTCACCGTACCGAAGTTCCGCATCGCTGCATACACCCTGATCGGATTCCTTATCGTCGGCCAGGTGGTCATCGGCTTTCTCACTATCTTCTCGTGTCACCCGATCGAGTTATTCTGGAACAAGGACATCCACACAGGCGCCTGCCTCGATGTCAACCAACTTGCCTACGCGAACTCTGCCTTGGCCATCATCCAGGACCTTCTTATTCTCGCCCTCCCGATAGCGATGCTTCCAGGCCTTCAAATGAACCGGAACAAGAAGGTTTCGGTTGCCATGGTATTTCTTCTCGGATCTGTCGGCTTCGTCTCGACCATTATCCGTCTTCAGGTTCTCGCAGTGTTTGGAAACTCCATCGACCCGACGTGGGACTACGCGCCCGTTGTGTGGTGGACGACAATCGAACTAGGTGTCGTCGTGGTGTGCGCCTGTGCGCCCATGATCCGCAACTTGGTCGAGAAGAAGTTCCCCGGCTTTGCGCTCTTCGCGAGGTGGACCACCCCGAAGCCATCCAAGGGCAGCAGCCCATCCTCGAACGGCAGCGTGGACAAGCCGACAAAGGCTGCTGGGCGATATCAGAAGTTCGGGCGGAGTAACAGCCCGCCTCAATTTAGCGACAATTATGTTCGCGATTACATCACGAGTCCCAAAGGCCCTCCAGTACCCCAAAAGGACGATCTGCCACCATCTCGTAGGTACCGGGACATGTACGCCTACGGTGGATCCAAGCCCAAGGTGCTTGAGCCCTCGTCGCCGTCCCCTCAGCCGTATGACCTCTCGTGGAGGTCCATGAACCCTTATGGGATTCCTAAAGATGACCTGGAATCATGTATCGGAAAGACGAACTATAATCTTGATATTGAGATGCTGGAAAGGAAAGGGAGAGATGTGGTAGTGGCACAAAAGGAGCTTTGCTCTCTCTGCGGGAGGGAAAGCTGCAGTCACATGTAACAGAGCTATTTTCCGTCCGTTTTATAGATATCCATTTGCTTAGATACCAGTTGTTGCTCGATCGCCTCAATAATCATGCCTCGTTCACTCTCATTGTTCCACCCGATGATGCTTCCGGAAGAACCCATATTTCAGCCGGGCGTGGTCCCGGAGCGGCCCGGAACGGTCCGATCATGTCAATGAATGTTCAGCTGGTCAGCCACCTTATTCGCGTGCAGCCCAAGTAAGCCACAAGACTCACAGATACGGACCGCATCCATCGTAATCTTCTTATCACGGACAGATTGATGATTGCAACATCAGCAGATAGAGCCCATGGCTTTCCGCCTCAATTCCTATCTGCTTGCTGAAGACCTCACTACCCCGGTCTCCATTCTCTTAAAGCCCAACTAATGCCGCAGAAAATGCACGATGCGAGTACTGCCTAGCCTTACTACAAACAACGCGTGGGAAAGTCTACATCGTTCGTCTGCTTTGACATCGACACACAAACAATGCACAAGCATTGACCGAGTTTCGCCACCTCCCGCAGCTGCTTTGCACCTCCAACTCACTATTCCGAATGTGGAGCTCTCCGAAGGTTCAACTGTCCCAATCTAGATACAAGCCCGCGTCGCAGCTTCGCCTCACAGCTCTTTTGCGCAACACGATGCGCGCATCCTCACTCTCGTTGAGCCTGTTCAAGGCACCGCTCGGTCTTGTAGCCCTGTTACTGGTCGCCTCGGTCGTGGGACATGGCGATGGTGATCTTCAACGTTACATGGCCCTGGAAACCTGCCCGCCGCTGAAGATTGTCAATGGGATCAACTTCACCACGCGGGCGTACTGGATGCGCCAGGCCAACCTGGCCCTGCCCAACCCATGCCCGTTCGCGGCCTTTGGCTCAGTGATTGTGAATCACACTACGGGCGGCTTGGGGGAACTGGTCTGCACCGGCGCGAACAACAATGCTGGCACAGGCAACCCGACTCTGCATGGTATGAATCTCACCTCACACAACCCAACAAAGCTTTTTCTTTTGCAAGGGTAGTTTGCTAATCATTAAACAGGGGAGATGGCCGCCATCGACAACTGCTCGGCAATCTTTGTAGATCCCCAGGGTCCATACCGGATGACGCCGGCTCAGGCCCTGGCCGCCTTTGCCAACCTGACCATCTACACCAACGCCGAGAGCTGCCCCATGTGCGCGTCGGCGGTGCGCTGGGCAGGCTTCAGGGAATACGTCTTTGGCACGAGCATCGAGAGCCTCACGGAGGAGGGATGGGGCCAGATCCAAATCACGTCCAGGGACGTCTTCCGGCAGTCCTCGGGCTTACCCCGCCGAACAAGGTTGCTTGGTCCGGTCTTGACGAACGAGACAGACCCCTTCTTTAGTTGGCAGTTTAATGCGGGTGCGCCCTGTCCGCAAGGCTGCTCTCGGGGCGGAAGTGCAGGCGGTTGTGTTCCTGCATAATGGGGTCGGTCGAGGTGCACTTGGTTTGGGTTGAATTAGGTTGCGGTTCTGCTCTGAAGAACCCCTTCAACTGAAGCAACTTTCACCGGGCTTGTTGCAAGTGGGTTTTCTAGTCTGTTGGTTTCATCACATTTATCATCAACAGCATCTGGGTGCCGCTCGCTAGAGGTTGCTTCCTCTTTCGTTCTTAAAGTGGGAACTCCGAGCCGAGCTCATTTGCCGAGATTGTCAGACAAGGACATAGAATCCTGTTCGGAGACCTGTGATACAAGAGCATCATTGAAAGATGATTAAATTTAGCATAAGGAGTCTAGTTGCAGAAAAAACAAGAATGGGACATCAGACAACTGGGCCGGATACGAGATGTCTGCGCCAACAAAAATCAAAAGAAACTCGCCTTCACCCGGCAACGTCCTGAGATGTACGCCCGTGTGGCCGCAAGGATATACTTGACCCCCACCTGATTTGAACAGATAACCTTTCGATGGCATCTCGAGGAATCTCGATCTGGAGTCGAACGCGCTACCGTTGCGCCAGAGGGCCGATGAAAATATTACCTATTATCGTGAGCTCAAGTGGGCAGTTGCCGTGGGCCTCGTCTATCCAGGCGAGGGCTAGACCCGCTCTATCTTGTCGTAATGGGGCAGAGTCTTCGACAGCGGTGGAGCTCATCTGCGACTTGCTTCACAGAGCGAGGCAGCTTCTTCATGGAGGACTTGTCTGCGATGTGGCTGATAATTAGGTGCCTACGCTTGCGTTGGCTACAGGCAGTTGCGTTCATGTGGGCAACAAATCTCGACTTAAAAAACTTGCCGAGACAGTCAGACTAAGTTTTCTTTTTGCAAGAGAGGCTACCATATGCGAGCCAGATGGTTTGTGGGAAGACTACAACGATACGATAAGTCGGGCAATGTTTTTTTATCTTGAGAAATTCGGAGTAGCCCTAGCAGGTGAAGCCAAAAGAGCTGATGTGCTCTGCTGAAGAGACAATATCTCATGTGGAAACATCCTCAGCGGTTGGGCTTCTCTTATCCATGAGCATATGACTGACGCATATGTATTCAATGGCTTATTCTCCAGCTCTATCTACTTGCCTCACATTACTGAGCACAGATCCCCCCAATCAGTCCGTTGATCTACGAAGATGGAAAACACAGGTTGCCCTTCTAACATCCTCGTCTCCATCCCCAAGCTTAACACCACCGGTCTATCCTCAACCCGCCTACTCATACCAAACGTAATCCTCGTCTTCATAACCCCACGCTCGCTGCCAAGCTTGCGCAACTTCATCAAGTCACCGCTCATTGCAGTTTGGAAAATGTGTTTCGTCTCATTTTTGTTAGCTGCAAGACACACCCAAGGATTCGCACCACCGCCAGTAAAACCACACGCGAGGATAAAGTTCTGGTCAGCCGCGCCAGACGTTCGGTACTGAACGAATCCGTCAAATGTGTCCAGTCCCTGAGTGATAAACATGCGCCGGGACGAGCTCCACATGCCGTCGGGCTGGGCCTTGACAAACTCCACCCCTGGCGGCGTGGGCGGGAAGCAGAAGGCGTTCCGGTAGATGGAGTCCATGTCCCCGACGAGCGTCTCTGCCACGTCTGGCTCGAGGAATTTGCTGATGAACATCGTGTGTTTGATGCCCGGTGCGCTGTGCTCCAAACTCCAGAGCCGGCCGGTCTTCCAGCGGAGGAAGACGTTTCCACCTTGATCTCTGAGAAGAATTCCGAGGTGACGACGGCCTTGATCGCTGGATCTATGGCAACGGAGACTTAGGAAATGCGCACCGTCGGGCATGAGACTGGTTTCGGTCGTGATTTTCAAGCCTTTATTTGTGATGGCGTACTTGAGAAATTGGTGTCAGCTCTTCGAACGTTACACAGCTGACTTGATTCAGCTGAAAACTCGGGGGCAGGTCTCGAGACATACCTCGGGGTTGTACTTGATGTCGCTGCTGAGTACGATATCATTCGCTGTCTCAAAAGCTGATGGAGACATAGCCAGAATCCCAAAATAGCCCAATGGAGATTCTGCTGGTGCAGACCAAGCAAAGATGGACAAGTCGTTGGTCTCCTTGATGATCTCTTCCTGCAGTCGGATGAACGCTCTGTTTCCCTCCCCATACAGAAGCGGCATCTTGACTCCAAAAACTCCCAAGAGACAGTACGCCAAATCTTCTTCCCTTTTGGTCATGCGCCCAGATGCCCAAGACATTCTTCTGGCAACAGGTATTGTCGTCAAAAGGCCTTCCACTCTCCCGCTTCCTGCCACGAGTATGCTCTTGTCAATGTTTGTGCGCTGTTGGATGATGTCGCACAGATCGGATCGACTTCCAATGTAGTTCCAGTCCTTATCGAAGAATTCAACTCGCGAGGGGGCGATGAGCTCCTGCAAAGTCCATCCACGAGTGAACCATTGGGAATGTTGAAGTGAAACTCCGTCGATGCCCACATCCGACAAGTACGCATAGCAGATTGAAGATCGCGCGTACCACTTGAACATGGAATTGATGGCTTCCGTCAGCTCTGTGAAATCCTGTTTGTTGATGCAACAAGTATCAACCCATGCATATTTGTAACCTTGCTGCAATGCAAGTCGACAGAAATGCTGAATCTTTTTCCATCCTTTCTTGCGCGCTATCACATCAGGCTTTCCAAAATCTTGGTAGGTTGCCTCTTGATGATCGGCTTCCCATCGGTGGGAAAGGATGGCATACGATTCAGGTATAGACAGCCCCGAGAACTCCTCAATCAGTAGGCTAGAGCAATTAAGAAGCTTCATGGCGATGGGGGCACTGAGGGAATGAAGCTGGAGCGATTGGAGAAATTGAAGAGAATCGCGAAAGAAGACGACATATCAGCCCCAAATCTTACGCACATATCAACTAGTCTTCTCTAGGAAGATCATCGTTGCAGCTCAACATAAGCTTGGAAAACTGGCACCAGGCAGCCGCCCCATGGTAAGATGCCTCGTAATCCATTGGACCATTGATGACCATAAGTGGGGCTTGAGGCTCACAAACACACAAGGTAACTGGCGAGACTATTCTATTCATTTGCCTGGGCTTTAGCTTCTTGATGTACGAAAAGAAACCATACCCATGTTGTGACCATGGCTGTAGTTGCCTCACGAAGTGAGCACGCCAAGATATCAATGTAAGGTACTTTGATGCCCATTCTGTTTCTCTCGCATGTATCTTGGTCAGTGGTACACCAAGTTGAAAGCACGGTGATGTACAAAAATGATATTTCTTCGGCCTATGATGGAATGAATGTCTTACAAGAACCTTTCTTCGCCCAAGAAACTGATTCTCCTAGTCATCGTATGGATCGCTCTTTCCGTGCTTATGGCTCTCTTTTGTCTCGCCGTAAGGGTCTTTGGATGTACTCGAGCTCGCGCTTTTGTGCTTCGCGCCTGTCTTCTCGGCCGTGATACTCTGATCTTGGTGTTTATGAGGCTTCGCGATGTGAAGCTCATCGGAGTGAAGCGCGACACCAGCCTCGGCGGCAATGTGATCGAGAGGATCCCTCATCAAGAACATGGT